AAACTTTTCCTATTAAGCAATCACCTAAATGTTTGATTTACATGAGATTTATAAAGAGGTTTCACTGACTATGTTTACTTGCCAGCATCCTCCTTAATCTGAATTATTTAGATCTTCTGTCAAATCTTATATATCAACTTCAAGACAATATAGAAAAGTCGATAGGACATCAAAATGACTCCGACTATGTCCCTTCCCGGTTATCAAACACTGTTGATTTCTCTCAGACCTTCAAGAATCCCTATAAACTACAAGACATATAAACCCCTGTGAGACTTTACACACAGAAAACAATCCTCTACTCCTTTGTACTGTTGTACATCGAGAATCAGACAACAAGCATGCAACGACACTTAAAAATGTACATCACAACATCAGATGGACAAATAAAGTGACAAAAAGTTTTCAAAATAAAAGGTAAAACAGAATGAAGTGATTTGCTGAAACAGTGTATAATATACTTACAACAGATTAACTTTCAAAAGCTCTCCTTACAGAGGCCAAAAAATACTGTTTCTCAGACAAAAGTATTGTTACCACAGAATTACTGCTCTTCACTGAAGAACTGGACTTAGAACAGTTATCTGTCAGATTTGAATTTTTATAAAAGCAACCAATTTTTGTTAAAACATTAACGAATATTATGTATATTGGATAATTAAACCATCAATTAAAAATAATGAGATCCTGATTACAAATCTGTAGAGAAAGGTTTACTGACTATCTGTCCAAATCACTGAGATGGTATCAATTTTTCCCACCTATTTTATCAAACAACTGAAAAATAATCATTGAAAAGAAAACTGGTGAAATTTGTCTCAAAACGAAGCTATTTTTTGACCTTTTTAAGGATGATAATGACACATATCCCATAATGCAATACACTGTATATTGTGTGTAAGTACTTACACCTGTCACCTCCTCATCAACCTGTAACATATATATCACCACTTATACTCAGTGTTTTATAAACACCTGTCACTTCCTCATCAACCTGTAACATATATATCACCACTTATACCCAGTGTTTTATAAACACCTGTCACCTCCTCATCAACCTGTAACATATATATCACCACTTATACCCAGTGTTTTATAAACACCTGTCACTTCCTCATCAACCTGTAACATATATATCACCACTTATACCCAGTGTTTTATAAACACCTGTTACTTCCTAATCAACCTGTAACATATATATCACCACTTATACCCAGTGTTTTATAAACACCTGTCACTTCCTCATCAACCTGTAACATATATATCACCACTTATACCCAGTGTTTTATAAACACCTGTCACTTCCTCATCAACCTGTAACATATATATCACCACTTATACCCAGTGTTTTATAAACACCTGTTACTTCCTAATCAACCTGTAACATATATATCACCACTTATACCCAGTGTTTTATAAACACCTGTCACTTCCTCATCAACCTGTAACATATATATCACCACTTATACCCAGTGTTTTATAAACACCTGTCACTTCCTCATCAACCTGTAACATATATATCACCACTTATACCCAGTGTTTTATAAACACCTGTCACTTCCTCATCAACCTGTAACATATATATCACCACTTATACCCAGTGTTTTATAAACACCTGTCACTTCCTCATCAACCTGTAACATATATATCACCACTTATACCCAGTGTTTTATAAACACCTGTTACTTCCTAATCAACCTGTAACATATATATCACCACTTATACCCAGTGTTTTATAAACACCTGTCACTTCCTCATCAACCTGTAACATATATATCACCACTTATACCCAGTGTTTTATAAACACCTGTCACTTCCTCATCAACCTGTAACATATATATCACCACTTATACCCAGTGTTTTATAAACACCTGTTACTTCCTAATCAACCTGTAACATATATATCACCACTTATACCCAGTGTTTTATAAACACCTGTCACTTCCTCATCAACCTGTAACATATATATCACCACTTATACCCAGTGTTTTATAAACACCTGTCACTTCCTCATCAACCTGTAACATATATATCACCACTTATACCCAGTGTTTTATAAACACCTGTCACTTCCTCATCAACCTGTAACATATATATCACCACTTATACCCAGTGTTTTATAAACACCTGTCACTTCCTCATCAACCTGTAACATATATATCACCACTTATACTCAGTGTTTTATAAACACATGTCCTCATCAACCTGTAACATATATATCACCACTTATACCCAGTGTTTTATAAACACATGTCCTCATCAACCTGTAACATATATATCACCACTTATACCCAGTGTTTTATAAACACCTGTCACTTCCTCATCAACCTGTAACATATATATCACCACTTATACCCAGTGTTTTATAAACACATGTCCTCATCAACCTGTAACATATATATCACCACTTATACCCAGTGTTTTATAAACACCTGTCCTCATCAACCTGTAACATATATATCACCACTTATACCCAGTGTTTTATAAACACCTGTCACTTCCTCATCAACCTGTAACATATATATCACCACTTATACTCAGTGTTTTATAAACACATGTCCTCATCAACCTGTAACATATATATCACCACTTATACCCAGTGTTTTATAAACACCTGTCACTTCCTCATCAACCTGTAACATATATATCACCACTTATACCCAGTGTTTTATAAACACATGTCCTCATCAACCTGTAACATATATATCACCACTTATACCCAGTGTTTTATAAACACCTGTCACTTCCTCATCAACCTGTAACATATATATCACCACTTATACCCAGTGTTTTATAAACACATGTCCTCATCAACCTGTAACATATATATCACCACTTATACCCAGTGTTTTATAAACACCTGTCACTTCCTCATCAACCTGTAACATATATATCACCACTTATACCCAGTGTTTTATAAACACCTGTCACTTCCTCATCAACCTGTAACATATATATCACCACTTATACTCAGTGTTTTATAAACACATGTCCTCATCAACCTGTAACATATATATCACCACTTATACCCAGTGTTTTATAAACACCTGTCCTCATCAACCTGTAACATATATATCACCACTTATACCCAGTGTTTTATAAACACCTGTCACTTCCTCATCAACCTGTAACATATATATCACCACTTATACCCAGTGTTTTATAAACACATGTCCTCATCAACCTGTAACATATATATCACCACTTATACCCAGTGTTTTATAAACACCTGTCACTTCCTCATCAACCTGTAACATATATATCACCACTTATACCCAGTGTTTTATAAACACCTGTCCTCATCAACCTGTAACATATATATCACCACTTATACCCAGTGTTTTATAAACACCTGTCCTCATCAACCTGTAACATATATATCACCACTTATACCCAGTGTTTTATAAACACATGTCCTCATCAACCTGTAACATATATATCACCACTTATACCCAGTGTTTTATAAACACCTGTCCTCATCAACCTGTAACATATATATCACCACTTATACCCAGTGTTTTATAAACACCTGTCACTTCCTCATCAACCTGTAACATATATATCACCACTTATACCCAGTGTTTTATAAACACCTGTCCTCATCAACCTGTAACATATATATCACCACTTATACCCGGTGTTTTATAAACACCTGTCACTTCCTCATCAACCTGTAACATATATATCACCACTTATACCCAGTGTTTTATAAACACATGTCCTCATCAACCTGTAACATATATATCACCACTTATACCCAGTGTTTTATAAACACCTGTCACTTCCTCATCAACCTGTAACATATATATCACCACTTATACCCAGTATTTTATGAACACCTGTCCTCCACTACTTTCACACACCTGTATATCTACCTTACCAGTAGACTGACCACTACCTTTACACACCTGTATACCTACCTTACCAGTAGACTGACCACTACCTTTACACATCTGTATACCTACCTTACCAGTAGACTGACCACTACCTTTACACACCTGTATACCTACCTTACCAGTAGACTGACCACTACCTTTCCACACCTGTATACCTATCTTACCAGTAGACTGACCACTACCTTTCCACATTTGTATACCTTCCTTACCAGTAGACTGACCACTACCTTTCCACACCTGTATACCTATCTTACCAGTAGACTGACCTCTATCTTTACACACCTGTATATCTACCTTACCAGTAGACTGACCACTACCTTTACACACCTGTATACCTATCTTAACAGTAGACTGATCACTACCTTTACACACCTGTATACTTATCTTACGAATAGACTGACCACTACCTTTGCACACCTGTATACCTATCTTACCAGTAGACTGACCACTACCTTTACACACCTGTATATCTACCTTACCAGCATACTGACCATTACCTTTCCACACCTGTATACCTATCTTACCAGTAGACTGACCACTACCTTTCCACATCTGTACACCTATCTTACCAGTAGACTGACCACTACCTTCACACACCTGTATATCTACCTTACCAGTAGACTGACCACTACCTTTCCACACCTGTATATCTACCTTACCAGTAGACTGACCACTACCTTTCCACACCTGGATATCTATCCTATCAGTAGACTGACCGCTACCTTTACACACCTGTTTACCTACCTTATCAGTAGACTGACCATTACCTTCACACACCTGTATATCTACCTTACCAGCATACTGACCACTACCTTTCCACACCTGTTTACCTACCTTATCAGTAGACTGACCACTACCTTTACACACCTGTTTACCTACCTTATCAGTAGACTGACCACTACCTTTCCACACCTGTTTACCTACCTTACCAGTAGACAGACCTCTACCTTTCCACACCTGTTTACCTACCTTATCAGTAGACTGTCCACTACCTTTACACACCTGTTCACCTACCTTATCAGTAGACTGACCACTACCTTTACACACCTGTTTACCTACCTTATCAGTAGACTGACCTCTACCTTTACACACCTGTTAACCTACCTTATCAGTGGAATACATTTGACCACTTGAGAACTCCATGTATAACTTGACTTTCCGGACCATAGCTTCCTGGGCACAGTTCATACTCAGTCGAATAATTCCTTCCTGGTATACCTGCAAGGGAGACAACTCATCAATCATTAATCAACATTATTGACGACTACTGATAACAACGGAATCATGTCTATGTCATCACTAAAATATTGTCAGATCTAAATGAAAAATTCAGTTAGTGACAAGCAATAGAATGACACACCTCTAAAATACTAGATTCATAGTGAGAATGTCAACTCATGCCATATCACACATCTTGTAGGTATGTCCAAATATTTAATTCTACACCAAGATGGAATAATACAGAAGGAGTATGTGTTGTTAAGTATTGTAATAAGACTGTTCATATATATATTTGTATTATAAATATATTTGAGGTTGGAGATAACAGGTTCTGTCCATGCTGTACCTATCTTTGGGTTTTCTGTCTATGCTTTCTGTGTCTGTTCTTCCTGATAGTGTCTGTCTGTTCTTACTGATAGTGTCTGTCTGTTCTTACTGATAGTGTCTGTCTGTTATTACTGATAGTGTCTGTGTATGTCCTTAGTTACTGTGTCTGTGTGTATGTCCTTAGTTACTGTGTCTGTATGTATGTCCTTAGTTACTGCGTCAGTGTGTATGTCCTTAGTTACTGTGTCTGTGTGTATGTCCTTAGTAACTGTGTCTGTGTGTATGTCCTAAGTAACTGTGTCTGTGTGTATGTCCTTAGTTACTGTGTCAGTGTGTATGTCCTTAGTTACTGTATCTGTGTGTATGTCCTTAGTTACTGTGTCAGTGTGTATGTCCCTAGTTACTGTGTCTGTGTGTATGTCCCTAGTTACTGTGTCTGTGTGTATGTCCCTAGTTACTGTGTCTGTGTGTATGTCCCTAGTTACTGTGTCTGTGTGTATGTCCTTAGTTACTGTGTCTGTGTGTATGTCCCTAGTTACTGTGTCTGTGTGTATGTCCTTAGTTACTGTGTCTGTGTGTATGTCCTTAGTAACTGTGTCTGTGTGTATGTCCTTAGTAACTGTGTCTGTGTGTATGTCCTTAGTTACTGTGTCTGTGTGTATGTCCTTAGTAACTGTGTGTGTGTGTATGTCCTTAGTTACTGTGTCTGTGTGTATGTCCTTAGTTACAGTGGCAGTTCATACTTACGGGGTCTGTCTGGCCGTACTTGGTTTCTGCTGCCAAATTGATGACATAATCATAATCGCCCTCAGAATCTGTAAACGCATTCCTCACAGATGCTGAAACAAACCCAGAGCAATTTAAAAAGTAATCAGAGGTTAAAGAAGGCACAGAAAGTGATTCCAGGTATAAATATCTACAACCTGATTTCATTATGAATGTTCATGACATTGATGAATCACACGGGCTTAAGCTAATTAATACTAATAATAATCTCGTGCTGACGTTTTCCTGTAAACGTAGGGATCAAGTAGTTGTCTTTGTAGGCTAGTACGATCAACGGTTGTGACTCATTTATAAAATAAACAAAGTCTTTATGTAAATAGTCTGGCAGTTAAGTTTGTAGTCCTTGATAATAAGAAAAATAAATATTTCCTAAAATACTTTTAAAAAAAACAAGCTTAATGAAATCAAAAAGATTGAAAAAATAGGATAAAAATTCAAAAAAAAAAAAAAAAAGATAATGAGATCAGTCTAAAAGGTAAAAGAAATCTGATTTTTATTTGCTGTTTCAGTATCGCATGTTTTATATAATCATCTATAAATATGAGTAAGACACACTACTTCACTTTTATCTATATACTATGGATGTCATTTCAACTTGTTGCTATGGTTACCTGGGTTGATCAGACTGGCATGCTTGAACTCAACCAGAGGATTAGCAAACACATCCTGTGTAAACAAAAACAAGGTCAAGGTCAATATCTAAATAAAACAAAAGGTCAAGTTCAAGGTCAATACTTGTAATATATGTAGTTTAATGGTTTGTATCCAAGGGGTTTATGCAGAATGAAATTTTTGTACAGTTGTTAATATATTACAGCTAATATGTAGAATAAGAGTGTGACTTTAATGATTTAAAATTATATATTTCCAAATCAAAATGGAATTGTCTCCCCTTACCACATAGTATTATATGTATGTTTAAATTAAGTTTGAAAAGGATTTAACTTGATGTCCAATCCTGTGACATTTTGTTGGTAACATAATGATATAATGACCGTAGTTTGAGGTGCTGTAATAGTTACCTTGTGTCTGCTGTTCAGCCAGGCCATCGGAGGTGGAACTTTATCTGCAACGCGTACCTACAAAATAACATACTTGTATTACATATCCTACACTGACACAGGTTCAAGTGTCTAGTCCTTTCGGAGGGGTGAGCAAAAATTTAAAGTGAAGTTGAATAAGGGTTTATGACAAAAAGGTACTTCAGAAGCTTATGAGAAAAGTTGGTTTTCAGATAAAACGGAGGGAAATTGCAGTTCTAGGTCAGTGCTTAAGGGGAAAATCTGATAAGTGATTTGGAGAAATGTTGGTCTTTAGGGGGTAAGAAGAGGAGATAGAGAAGGGATGTATTTACAGGTGTATTGAGAGTGTGTGAGGGAGGAATTTACAGGTGTAGGAAGAGGGTATGAGGTATGGGAATTACAGGTGTTGGAAGAGGGTAGGAGGTATGGGGATAACAGGTGTAGGGAGAGGGTGGGTTGTATGGTGATTATAGGTGTAGGAAGAGGGTGGGAGGTATGAGGATTGCAGGTGTAGGGAGAGGGTAGGAGGTATAGGGATTACAGGTGTAGGGAGAGGGTAGGAGGTATGAGGATTGCAGGTGTAGGGAGAGGGTAGGAGGTATAGGGATTACAGGTGTAGGGAGAGGGTAGGAGGTATAGGGATTACAGGTGTAGGGAGAGGGTAGGAGGTATGGGGATAACAGGTGTAGGGAGAGGGTAGGAGGTATGGGGATTACAGGTGTAGGGAGAGGGTAGGAGGTATGGGGATTACAGGTGTAGGGAGAGGGTAGGAGGTATGGGGGATTACAGGTGTAGGGAGTGGGTAGGAGGTATAGGGGATTATAGGTGTAGGGAGAGGGTGGGTTGTATGGTGATTACAGGTGTAGGAAGAGGGTAGGAGGTATGGGGGATTACAGGTGTAGGGAGAGGGTAGGAGGTATGGGGATTACAGGTGTAGGAAGAGGGTGGGAGGTATAGGGATTACAGGTGCAGGGAGAGGGTAGGAGGTATGAGGATTACAGGTGTAGGGAGAGGGTAGGAGGTATGGGGATTACAGGTGTAGGGAGAGGGTAGGAGGTATGGGGATTACAGGAGCAGGGAGAGGGTAGGAGGTATGGGGGATTACAGGTGCAGGGAGAGGGTGGGAGGTATGGGGATTACAGGTGTAGGGAGAGGGTATGTTGTGTGGTGATTACATGTGTAGGGAGAGGGTGGGAAGTATGGGGATTACAGGTGTAGGGAGAGGGTAGGAAGAATGGGGATTACAGGTGCAGGGAGAGGGTAGGAGGTATGGGGATTACAGGTGTAGGGAGAGGGTAGGAGGTATGGGGGATTACAGGTGTAGGGAGAGGGTATGTTGTATGGGGATTACAGGTGTAGGGAGAGGGTAGGAAGTATGGGGATTACAGGTGTAGGGAGAGGGTAGGAAGTATGGGGATTACAGGTGTAGGGAGAGGGTAGGAAGTATGGGGATTACAGGTGTAGGGAGAGGGTATGTTGTATGGGGATTACAGGTGTAGGGAGAGGGTAGGAAGTATGGGGATTACAGGTGTAGGGAGAGGGTAGGAAGTATGGGGATTACAGTTGTAGGGAGAGGGTAGGAAGTATGAGGATTACAGGTGTAGGGAGAGGGTGGGAGGTTATAGGGGATTACAGGTGTAGGGAGAGGGTAGGAAGTATGAGGATTAATGAAGAAGTATGAGAACCTCATTGAGTGTGATTGAAATGTTTTGGTTGACTTGTTTAAGTCTGGATTGAAAGATAGGTGAGATCCAAAGAGAGAGATAAAATGATACACTTCAGGTAAAGACAGCAGGAAGGAAATAGGGACATGTAAGGGGTGTCCCAGGTCTCCAAGACGGGCTAGGTTTTACGGCCATTCAAAAACTTGTTGGCTGTGGTTGCAATATTTTTCTAGTTCAGAAATATTTGTATAATTACTAATAAAAATCCTGTCACACTGTGAACAATGTTTCTGTAATACTGGTCTGACAATGATGCAGTGCAATATTTGTGGTCAGGAAATCCTGCATCCCACCACACAGGAGGCTACCAATATATAACACAGGCCTCTGTAATTCACTGACAGCCGTGTATGTAATTATATTCCCTTGAAAATCTGGTACATCTCAAGGTTTGACTCCAGCTTCATGTAGACAAAGAGTAGATTTTAGCATAATATAATGCATGTCACTAAAATTATCAGGTAAATAGATGATCAGTGTTCACTGGTCACTTCCTACTGACCGACTGGGTCTGGTGTGACTTTATTTTTCAAAGATTAATGAAACATCAATCACACATCACTTCTGTCTGTAAAGGTGTCAATCACACATCATCACTTCTGTCTGTAAAGGTGTCGATCACATGACATCACATCTGTCTGTAAAGGTGTCAATCACACATCATCACTTCTGTCTGTAAAGGTGTCAGTTACACAACACTTCTGTCTGTAAAGGTGTCAATCACATGACATCACTTCTGTCTGTAAAGGTGTCAATCACACATCATCACTTCTGTCTGTAAAGGTGTCAATCACATGACATCACTTCTGTCTGTAAAGGTGTCAATCACACATCATCACTTCTGTCTGTAAAGGTGTCAATCACATGACATCACTTCTGTCTGTAAAGGTGTCAATCACACATCATCACTTCTGTCTGTAAAGGTGTCAATCACACATCATCACTTCTGACTGTAAAGGTGTCAATTACACAACACTTCTGTCTGTAAAGGTGTCAATCACACAACATCACTTCTGTTTGTAAAGGTGTCAATTACACAACACTTCTGTCTGTAAAGGTGTCAATCACATGACATCACTTCTGTCTGTAAAGGTGTCAATCACACATCATCACTTCTGACTGTAAAGGTGTCAATTACACATCACTTCTGTCTGTAAAGGTGTCAATCACACATCATCACTTCTGTCTGTAAAGGTGTCAATCACACAACACTTCTGTCTGTAAAGGTGTCAATCACACAAACATCACTTCTGTCTGTAAAGGTGTCAATCACACAAACATCACTTCTGTCTGTAAAGGTGTCAATCACACAAACATTACTTCTGTCTGTAAAGGTGTCAATTACACAACACTTCTGTCTGTAAAGGTGTCAATTACACAACACTTCTGTCTGTAAAGGTGTCAATCACACAAACATCACTTCTGTCTGTAAAGGTGTCAATCACACAACACTTCTGTCTGTAAAGGTGTCAATTACACAAACATCACTTCTGTCTGTAAAGGTGTCAATCACACAAACATCACTTCTGTCTGTAAAGGTGTCAATTACACAACACTTCTGTCTGTAAAGGTGTCAATCACATGACATCACTTCTGTCTGTAAAGGTGTCAATCACACATCATCACTTCTGTCTGTAAAGGTGTCAATTACACAACACTTCTGTCTGTAAAGGTGTCAATCACATGACATCACTTCTGTCTGTAAAGGTGTCAATCACACATCATCACTTCTGTCTGTAAAGGTGTCAATCACACATCATCACTTCTGTCTGTAAAGGTGTCAATTACACAACACTTCTGTCTGTAAAGGTGTCAATCACTGTCTGTAAAGGTGTCAATCACACAACATCACTTCTGTCTGTAAAGGTGTCAATCACAGAACATCACTTCTGTCTGTAAAGGTGTCAATCACACAAACATCACTTTTTGTGTCTGTAAAGGTGTCAAACACACAAACATCACTTCTGTCTGTAAAGGTGTCAATCACAGAACATCACCTCTGTCTGTAAAGGTGTCAATCACACATCATCACGTCTGTCTGTAAAGGTGTCAATCACACAAACATCACTTTTGTCTGTAAAGGTGTCAATCACAAAAGATAACTACTGACAACCATACCTACCTTACTGACGAGGTCATGACTGACCAGGTGTGTCACCAGGTGTATCATACCTACCTTACTGACGAGGTCATGACTGACCAGGTGTGTCACCAGGTGACGACCAATGAATCCTGTACCTGTAATGATAAACAAATAATAGGGTTAACGTAGGTAACGGATCACAGATTACTACAGTGTTATCACAGGTGATCTTTATCAGGTGTAAAGTCATATGTACAGTAAAGTAGGGTTATCACTTATGTAGGGTCACATTGTACAGTAGGGTTATAACTTATGTAGGGTTACATTGTACAGTAGGGTTATCACTTATGTAGGGTCACATTGTACAGTTGGGTTATCACTTATGTAGGGTCACATTGTACAGTAGGGTTATCACTTATGTAGGGTCACATTGTACAGTAGGGTTATCACTTATGTAGGGTCACATTGTACAGTAGGGTTATCACTTATGTAGGGTTACATTGTACAGTAGGGTTATCACTTATGTAGGGTCACATTGTACATTAGGGTTATCACTGATATAGGGTCACATTGTACAGTAATCACTGGAGTAATCATACTGTACAGTAGGGTTATCACTTATGTAGGGTCACAGGGTACAGTAGGGTTATCACTTATGTAGGGTCACATTGTACAGTAATCACAGGAGTAATCATACTGTACAGTAGAGTTATCACTTATGTAGGGTCACATTGTACAGTTGGGTTATCACTTATGTAGGGTCACATTGTACAGTAATCACAGGAGTAATCATACTGTACAGTAGGGTTATCACTTATGTAGGGTCACAGGGTACAGTAATCACAGGTGTAATCATACTGTACAGTAGGGTTATCACTTATGTAGGGTAACACTGTACAGTAGGGTTATCACTTATGTAGGGTCACAGGGTACAGTAATCACAGGTGTAATCATACTGTACAGTAGGGTTATCACTTATGTAGGGTCACACTGTACAATAGGGTTATCACTTATGTAGGGTCACAGGGTACAGTAATCACAGGAGTAATCATACTGTACAGTTGGGTTATCACTTATGTAGGGTCACAGGGTACAGTAATCACAGTTGTAATCATACTGTACAGTAGGGTTATCACTTATGTAGGGTCACACTGTACAATAGGGTTATCACTTATGTAGGGTCACATTGTACAGTAGGGTTATCACTTATGTAGGGTCACACTGTACAATAGGGTTATCACTTATGTAGGGTCACATTGTACAGTTGGGTTATCACTTATGTAGGGTCACATTATCCAAGAGAGTACATTTGGGCTTTGCTATTATTTAATTGAATTTAAGAAGATCACTAGAAACCTAGTCTGGAATTTTCAATATTATATTTGTACGTCTTCTCAATGGAAGGCTGTATTTGTGATACATAGGTATTTATCCTTCAAGCACCTGTAAATACATGTGATTACACAGGATTTCAACACACCTATCTCTGATCTTCATAAGAGGTGAAATGATTCGCATGACAGCATGTTAAATAAAATGCCTTTGGTTTGAGAGTATCACCAACTTGAATTCTCCAATGGACATACAGTTAAAGATAGTTATTTTGGACCAGAGTCTCCTTTTCAGTAAACATGGGAATATTCAGAGTGACTGTTTTGTTACAAAATTGAGATTTTTGAATTAGTAGAATTGATTACTGTACATGAAATTGTAATGAGAAGCTTCATAATCAATTTTTCAGGTAACAATTACCAGTGTAAATCTCCTCACCAGATCTCTTAGGAGTTCTCTTACCAGTACACTACGTCTGGTTGTCAGTTTCCATATAAGTATGTAGTGTCACCAACTTATCTGATATCATCAGGCCACAATCATACAGGCCATTAATTACTCAGATCATCAAAAATGCTAGAATCACTTGAATTTTGATCAATATTTCAACGTTTCAAGTTCAATTTTTAAATTTAATCAAACATAACATAGAACATCATCTAAATACATACAGATGTGATAACTACACAATACAAACATAGAACATCATCTAAATACATACAGATGTGATAACTATACAATACATACAGACGTGATAACTATACAATACATACAGATGTGATAACTATACAATACATACAGATGTGATAGCTATACAATACATACAGATGTGATAACTATATATTACATACAGATGTGATAACTATATATTACAATACAGATGTGATAACTATACAATACATACAGATGTGATAACTATACAATACATACAGATGTGATAACTATACAATACATACAGATGTGACAACTATACAATACATACAAATGTGATAACTATGCAATTCATACAGATGTGACAACTATACAACGGACTATATTATATAGTCTTTTTATGTAATGACCCTTTACAACATCCTTTCGCACTTGAGTTTGAAGGGAATGACCAGATATTTGATAACTAGCGGCAGGCAACACTGCATGATGTATATCATATTAGGTTTTTAAAGTTGAAAGTTCCAAATAGATTGTTAAGCCCTTGAATATCAGATATCACGATAACAAACTCTTTTGAATTGAAGGTATTTTTAGACATGTCGTCGAGATATTTTTAGGCATGTCATCGAAACAATCATCATATTAGTTTGTTTGTAAATAACATCAATATCAAACCTGCCAGACTTTTCCTGGAAAAGATTCTGTAAATGGGAATTCAAGCCGCTTTTCTGTCATAAACAAAATATTAAATAAAACAACAAAGTGCCAAATATTCAATCAAGTGTTGAAATGAATTTGGAACTTGTCACTTCAAATTAACTTTGCTTTACTGCCCTCAGGTAAACTTTCAGTATGATAACACATACAAAGAAAGACTTTATTTGATACAAATATTCCACCACTAACATTATGTCATTACATGTATTTGCCCCGGAACTTTTTCTGTACATTGATAATAATTATCTCTTTTTAACTTCAGCTTGATTTAGAGAAGGGATTGATTTGTCTACTATCACAATAACTCAAATCAGATGCAAGTATTCAGACGCCTGAGTAACACAGAGGCTCCAACTTACCATATATCTAGAGAGAATCATGAATGTATTGACAAACGAGTCACATCTAGTAGTCATAGTGTATGCACATTGAAAAATTGGACTTAAAGGTAACAAGTTTCATCAAAGGAAACACTTTCTAGTAAGCTTTAGTAACTTAACAGTTACATTTATGAAGATAATGATTTTGTAATTGTACCTGAATTGTTTATATAAGAATCTTATTTAATATTATCGTGCAACATATTTTGCTCCCAGGGCTCTCACACCCCATTTTGGGACTGACGCCCGGGGCCCTTAGAATTGGGAAAAATAATGGTGTTTTCTTTAGAATTGGGAAAACTTGGGGTCTAAATTGGGAAAAAAGATACTATTTTGCATTGGGAATGGGGCCAAATATCGGCCCCAAATCTGGCAGATTGAGAGCCCTGGCTCCTAACATGATAATTACATTTACTGAATGTTAATTTTTTATGTAATTAAAATGGAACCTGCTAATGAGTGATTTAATAAGACATTGAAGTAATAATTATAGTAATACCCAGTCTCTACATGAACACAACATATGTGTAACAAAATCCCTATGTTGTCAGAACTACTGAACAATGGTCAGCACCACCAAGTGTCCAGTAGATTACGCAGTAAACTGGATTTCTTTTAAAGTTTTTAGTTATGTATACTGAAACAATGCAAAACTGGAATTGCGTTAAGTTACACATACAAAAAATTAAACAAATGGTAACAATGATTCATTGTAATGACTCAACTGTTACTTCATCGATTCATTCCATCTGCAGCACTATATACATGAAGACCATTAACTAATGGTGATTTTACTATCATACCCTGCATCCTTTGTTTCAATTAAAGTAAGGCAATGCATAAAAAATCATCAACACCGAAGCCAGGAAAGAGAAATTCCACATGTAATCTCAGACAGATTCTAGAAATCTATTCTGTGTTCTGTAACGCTGTCTCATTCTGACCACAGGCTCCTGACTTAAATTCTAGATGTTTTCCTGTTTGTTTACAATAGAAAATGTTGTGGTTATACTGTAGTTACATCAAAGGTAAACTTTGTCATTATGGTATACAATTAACACGAACACAACTGGTTCAACAAGACGAGCGTCTGAGATTGTGACGTATATAACATTTTGTGTTATTTTATGACTAAACCCTGCATACATTAGCGACTGCCATTTGTCTTCCCTGTGTTTCGACACAACCGACTAGAACATCGACTCATGCGCCACTCCATTATGTAAGGACTACATCAGATACATCATTTGTCTTCATATTACTTACCTCCCAGTATTAGTACTCGTGCACGCCGGTGTCCACCGTCCGCCATTTTCACTGTTTGATCATGTGACCATACATATTGTCACGTGGTTTTCCCTTTAAAATTTGGCCTTGAAAGAACAGGACGAGAACATGAAGTTTGTAAAACATGTACAGGAAATATATAAATCAAACTTAACACCGACAATAACATTATTTCCTTCTTCACTCCTGAATGCAGTCAGGCAAAATAATGTTTTTTTTTCCGGATGTTTGCCAGAATCTACTTTAACATAACTGCATTCATAGCTATTTTCTTTCAAATGTTCCACTGACCAGTATTTTATTAAGATTTCTAAACGTGTAAGATAGCTACCCGTTTTACATGTAAATCAAAATATGACCACAGACATTTGTTTCTAATGTGACTAATTTAGAATTCTAACACACAATAGGACCACGTGTTCCAATCCATACTATGCCCGTAACTATGTTTTAAAAGAATTGAAGATTTACTTTAATTGTGATCATCTTCAAACCATACTGTCTCTGCTGTGTACATGTACATTTAAAACTTTTCAGATTAATCAATTTAATTTTAATTTGCTCCATGTATGATAATGCATACATATACGTCATCTCATTTAGAACATTCTTTAGCCTGTCGTGAAATGTCTTTGTGTCATTGGAATCTACAAGTTAAATTTGCTCCCTGTACATGGTCACTAAAAACAGCACTCAAATAAACAATAATGAACACGCAGACGATAACAGGCGTCATGGGACATCACATTTATAACCAAACTTAAAGTTTTGATTTTCTAAGTGTTTATCAAGACTGTTTCTGAAGGAGTTCATGGTAGATGTGATAATAACATATTCATATGCAATTATTGAGGACAGCGTCGCGCATCAGAGAATTTCTCATTCTAGGTGAAGGTTTTTTTCCCTACAGATTACTTAGCGGCATTTCAGAAAAATATTAATATCTCGTTTTGTAGATAAAAAAATCGCAAATGTTAACCTCTGATCAGGTAATTTAACAATTTTGCGTTACAAATATATATATATTTTAGATGAAAATTAGTTGTGTCATTTTTTAGTTAAAACTTATACATTAATGTCATTCATAGTCCTATCGAATTATTAACAAAACGATTATTTTGACAACTTCAAAGTGAAATAAAAGCAGTATTACGTAAAAATCTCCAAATGTATACCTCTTGTTATCAAGTATAGTAACTTTCCAACACATTGATTGAACTTTGACAATCTTTAATTAAAAATTAGTTGTGTCATCCTTTAGGTGAAAATGGCACATAATTTCGGTTCACGGAAATGTTCTAAGCCCCATTATATTAGGCTGGGAGATTCTTTGTCACGACACGTGGCTGTGTGGCAAATACGGAAGCGTATTCTGGCCACGTTGTGTTTTATTTTATCTAAGCCCCATTATATTAGGCTGGGAGATTCTTTGTCACGACACGTGGCTGTGTGGCAAATACGGAAGCGTATTCTGGCCACGTTGTGTTTTATTTTATCTCGAAATTTCGTGATAGCAAATCGAAATTTCGAGTTAGTTATCCGAAATTTTGAGTTAGTAAGTCGAAATTTCGAGTTATTGAAATTTTCAGATATTAACCCGAAATTTCGAGATAACAACTCGAAATATTAACTTACTATCTCAAATTTTCGGATTACTAACTCGAAATTTCGAGTTGCTATCGCGAAATTTCGAGATAAAATAAAACACAACGTTGCCCGAATACGCTTCCGTATTTGCCACACAGCCACGTGTCGTCACAGTCAGTTTCCTGTCCCGCTCACCGGCGACAGTCAGTGTCCTGTCCCGCTAACCGACGACAGTCAGTTTCCTGTCCCGCTAACCGACGACAGTCAGTTTCCTGTCCCGCTAACCGGCGACAGTCAGTGTCCTGTCCCGCTCACCGGCGACAGTCAGTTTCCTGTCCCGCTAACCGGCGACAGTCAGTGTCCTGTTCCGCTAACCGGCGACAGTCAGTGTCCTGTCCCGCTAACCGGCGACAGTCAGTCAGTGTCCTGTCCCGCTAACCGGCGACAGTCAGTGTCCTGTCCCGCTAACCGGCGACAGTCAGTGTCCTGTCCCGCTAACCGGCGACAGTCAGTTTCCTGTCCCGCTAACCGGCGACAGTCAGTGTCCTGTCGGTGGTTAGTTAACAGGTTTTCTTCTATACAACTCAGCCTATTCCTTAAGTTCGTTATATCGGCGATAGTTAAAGATCTGTAGACGTGTGGTTTATTGGTTATAGCTTTTCGTCTCACCATGTTTCGTCTCACCATGTTTCGTCTCACCATGTTTCGTCTCACCATGTTTCGTCTCACCATGTTTCGTCTCACCATGTTTCGTCTCACCATGTTTCGTCTCACCGACGATATTCTGTGTTTGTCTACATGTAGAGGAAGTTAGTATGTTGGTTACAGGTTTCCACTCATCCGATTTCACCCATTGATATAGATTTTTGTCTCAGCTACGGTAGTTACTGATCGGTCGGCGTGTAGCTGTTCAGTTAAAGGTTTTGCGCCTAAGCAACGCGGCATTTGTCCCGAATTTATCTGACCAGCAGTAAAAGTTGCTTTATTGGCGACAGATTTTTTCCGCCTACCCGATTCCGCCTAATCTTGTAGGTTCCGCCTCGCCATTGTTTGTGTCCTGTTCGAGGTTGGTCCGTTAAATGTTTTCCGCCTTCAAGACTCAGCCTGTTCCTTGATTTCGTCTCACAAATGTTAGCCAATGGTCTGTTGGAGTCGTGGTAGAACATGTTATAGGGTTATAAGCCCATGGTGAAAACATTCAGGTTCACTCAATGTGCTTGTATAGCCTCATGTCAAAACATTCAGGTTAATTCAATGTCGGGATTGTGCTTATATAGCCCATGGTGAAAATATTCAGGTTTACTCAAAGTCAGAATTGAGCTTATATAGGGTAATAAGCCATGGGTGAAAACATTCAGGTTTACTCAATGCCAGGAATAGGCTTATATAGGGTAATAAGCCATGGGTGAAAACATTCAGGTTTACCCAATGCCAGGAATAGGCTTATATAGGGTAATTGTCCTTATTGAGAGAGACAACACAACTCGTTTACCGATAGACCATAGACGGCGATTTGAAAAATATTAAAACAAAGTTTATTCATGAATAATTACAAAACTGATGCATATGATTATTTCTTTACTGAATTTTTGACAATAATATTGAAATACAATAAATGCCTCTTGGACCATGATTACAGTCAAATTTAACATCATTTTTTGTTTTCAGAATACTGAGGTGATCTTCACTTTCTGTTTTCAACAATGATACTCTCCAATTTTCAAATTAAAATCAAACAAACTGGTGTAAGATATCGTTATGAAGAACACCAGTTTGTGAAGGTTTCTCTAACTTTCAATAACATTTACCAGACCGGAAGTTTTGACACATCATTGATATGACATGCTTGAGAGAAAGTAAAATTCACAGAACTAACTCGAAAGGTGGTTATTTCTACAAAGAGGATACATAATATGAATGTAGCCCATACAATTAATTAGCACTTCAGATGTATGTGTGCAATTGGTAAAGAATTCAGCCATTTGCATAAAATATTTTACATAAAACAGAAATGAACTGAAATTTGAAGAATAATGTCATTTTGTCTTAATGAGGTAGATTTTTTTTAATCCGTATATAATTTGATCGTTTTTACGACACTCATTAGAATCAAGTATCTTTATGAAAAATCCCGAATATGTAATGTTACGTTTCTTTAATATCATTCTAAAAATGTTTTGTATCAAGGATTATCTCCCTTGTATGACAAATGTATAGATACGAAATGACAAACATATATTAGTCAAATAAGTAGGAAAACCGACCTCGATACCAGTTTTGACTGTCAAAACACTGAGGTTTTTTCACGTTTATTTTTACAGGACGGGGTTATATTGTGAATTCGTTGCACGAATATAAAGATAAATTCCTCTAGATCCGAAACGCAATATTGATGTGATAAGGAACGTTCTCTGTAAGCAGACAAAACACTTATTTTACTCACCGCTGTGTCGTGAAGCGGATGGTCGCCGCCATTTTGGTTGTGACCGGGGATAGTTAGGCCGTGACCTACGGTTTAGGTTGGACCCCTTGTACTTGTAGCTCCAGATAAGAATGAAAAATTCCCCGCCTCCATTAAACATAGAATGGAAACAGTGCTAGATTTACCTCGTGGTTGCTGAAATGAGTTCCCTCCCTTTAGTGGAGCGAGACATTACCTACTGTGTATTGAATAACAGTTGTCTCCCTTCGTTAGAAATGAACTAGTGTTACATTTATTGTATAAATCTTTGTCTTGCTCTGGAACCAACCGATTTCCCTGAAGTATTTTCCAAGTTCACATTTGCGGAAGCTTCTAAAAATCATGCAGAATTAACAGTATAGAGTGTATTTAGAAGTTGCCAGTGATGAGCTGCTGAAAGTCAACAGACAGGTGGGTGTGGTTTAGTCCTCGCAGAGTTCGTAAATAATCAAAACTGCTTTTATATTTCTGATCTGTAACGCTCAGCCTATTGAATACAGCCTTCAGGCCCTCACTTCAGCAGCCTGTGCTCTGGCTTGCTCCCGTATTTCTTCAGCCTCATCCTCAGTTTTTGCATCTGAAAATAAAGATAAGATCTGAGAGCTTAGAATGAAATCATAACAAAGAATTATGCTACAAATGTTAGGACCTTTAACCTTTGAACTTATGATGATGAGGAACCGTGACCTCAGTATTTGAAAGCACCTTTGTCATTGTACCTACTAATATGACCTTTGCACTTTTAACTGCTACCATGATATGTTGAACTGTGACCTCTAATTAACTTTATTGTGATGGCCTGTGATATTGTAAAGTTGACACTTCAATGATTGTGCGAACTATGACCTCTACGATGGCTGTTGAGTTTTTCCTGATGATCTGAGCTTCCTGTAAGAGAAACTGCTGTAGAAGCAGTGACTGCATAAAACGTTCATCTATACTAGTATAAATGCTGATACTTCCTAGCTGGAAATACCGCACATCTACAAAAAATCCTGGGGATATAAGTTAATGGCTTACAGCCAATGAGGTACAATGGGGAAATAAGTTAATGGCTTACAGTAAATGAGGTACATTGTGGGGAAATAAGTTAATGGCTTACAGTCAATGAGGTACATTGTGGGGAAATAAGTTAATGGCTTACAGTAAATGAGGTACATTGTGGGGAAATAAGTTAATGGCTTACAGCCAATGAGGTACACTGGGGAAATAAGTTAATGGCTTACAGTCAATGAGGTACATTGTGGGGAAATAAGTTAATGGCTTACAGTCAATGAGGTACATTGTGGGGAAATAAGTTAATGGCTTACAGTCAATGAGGTACATTGTGGGGAAATAAGTTAATGGCTTACAGTCAATGAGGTACATTGTGGGGAAATAAGTTAATGACTTACAGTCAACGAAGCATGTTTGTGGGGAAATGAGGGAGGTGGGGGGCAGGGGGTAATCATCTCAATTTTTAGAAGCTAAAATTACTCTTATATCCCTTTGATATCACAGAAAATGTCACTCAACGAGTTGGGACACAAGAACATTCAGGGGTGAAAGAGTACTTACAGGGGTGATAGAGTACTTATAGGGGTGATACAGTAGTTACCAAGTTGATACAGTACTTACAGGGATGATACAGTACTTGAAGGGGTGATACAGTACTTACAGGGATGATACAGTACTTACAGGGGTGATCCAGTACTTACAGCAGTGATACAGTACTTACAGGGATGATACAGTACTTACAGGGATGATACAGTACTTGAAGGGGTGATACAGTACTTACAGGGGTGATACAGTACTTACAGGGATGATACAGTACTTACAGCAGTGATACAGTACTAACAGGGGTGATCCTTACAAGGGTGATACAGTACTTACAGGGGTGATCCTTACAGGGGTGATACAGTACTTACAGGGGTTATACAGTACTTACAGGGGTTATACAGTACTTACAGGGGTGATCCTTACAGGGGTGATCAAGTACTTACAGGGGTGATACAGTACTTACAGGGGTGATAGAGTACTTATAGGGGTGATACAGTAGTTACCAAGTTGATACAGTACTTACAGGGATGATACAGTACTTGAAGGGGTGATACAGTACTTACAGGGATGATACAGTACTTACAGGGATGATACAGTACTTACAGGGATGATACAGTACTTACAGGGATGATACAGTACTTACAGGGGTGATACAGTACTTACAGGGGTGATACAGTACTTACAGGGATGATACAGTACTTACAGGGATGATACAGTACTTACAGGGATGATACAGTACTTACAGGGGTGATACAGTACTTACAGGGATGATACAGTACTTACAGGGATGATACAGTACTTACAGGGATGATACAGTACTTACAGGGATGATACAGTACTTACAGGGATGATACAGTACTTACAGGGATGATACAGTACTTACAGGGGTGATACAGTACTTACAGGGATGATACAGTACTTACAGGGGTTATACAGTACTTACAGGGATGATCCAGTACTTACAGCAGTGATCAAGTACTTACAGGGGTGATACAGTACTTACATGGGTGATCCAGTACTTACAGGGGTGATCCTTACAGGGGTGATACAGTACTTACAGGGATGATACAGTACTTACAGGGGTGATCCAGTACTTACAGGGATGATACAGTACTTACAGGGATGATACAGTACTTGAAGGGGTGATACAGTACTTACAGGGGTGATACAGTACTTACAGGGATGATACAGTACTTACAGGGATGATACAGTACTTACAGGGGTGATCCAGTACTTACAGGGATGATACAGTACTTACAGGGGTTGATACTTACCGTAAGCGAACGAGGAGCAGACCTGTCTGCAGCAAGTGCCACCCAATCTCTCTCTAACAGCTGCAAACATGGTTTCCTCTAACACTTTCCGATCAGTTATCATTTGTCTTGTATCAAACACAGTTGTAGTCTCCTGTAGTAGACACATATCGCGATCTTTTCTTTGCTTACAAATGAAACACGACTGACCTGGCTTTTGGTTTTGTTACAGAAAGATGAAATATATTCATTTGAGTCATCTTGGAGCCAATCATTGTTTGATGTTTATATGTTCTTTAAAAGTATCTTTTCCTTATGTTCTCTTCTGCTTTTTTCTCTTCGTGGTACAAAATTTGGACAATCCTTCCCAGAAATAGCGATGATAATATCTAACTTCCGACCACGGACAGACGGCCCGACCACGGACGAAGGGCGATTTCAAAAGCCCACTATCTGAGACGCTCTCTGATTTGTCTATTTTATCTTTTCACTTATCCAACGGATAATTAGAGAATGGAGAAGTCAATGACAACACGCCACCTTGCGGCGGGTTTGTCGGAACTTCTTTTTGCACGAATGGTATATCTGTTTTCACATTCAATGATGTAACCCAAAAGTAAAATAAAATGTTCAAATAATTTATAATGTATACAAAAATAGGCGGCAAATAACAACAAATTAATCAGGATGAAAAAAATGTTATTTAATAATTTTCACATTTCCGTTTGATTTGTGACGGGCCCAGTCATGAATGAATTTTGAAAGACTGAAAATGGCGCGAATAAGCTGACGTCACGTAACACAGCTGTTATGTGTAGTGATATTTTCTACAATTATCCTTCATTAAATGTTAAAAGAAATACAGTTCTGCACTATATTTGGTACCACCGGAAAGGTTTTGTCACAAGGAACACACAAACCAAATATGACAGCCCTTCCTCTTACGGTGCAACAATTATGGGCAAGCTTAAAGTTGACAACAGACAAAAAGACAAACAGACAGACAGCACAAAAACAATAGGAACCGATTGTTTCATCCGGGGACATCGATAACATATATCACAATGTTGCTGTAGTTTTTGGATGGATTTAATTTAGAGAGTAAACCATTATGCACAAAATATAAACATGTGGCGGTGATAGATTGAGGTCAAGGGTCACCATAACAGCCAATCAATTTGTGTCTAGGGTTAAATCATTGTTGGGTTTATTTATTTTTAGTTAGAAACAATGAACTTGTAGTACACCAGACCCTTCCCTCACCCTCCCCTACCACCACTAATGTTAACATTATAGAGAGGACATCCTTACCTTGTAGTACACCAGATCCTCCCCTCACCCTCCCCTACCACCACTAATGTTAACATTATAGAGAGAACCCTAACCTTGTAATACACCAGACCCTCCCCTACCACCACTAATGTTAACATTATAGAGAGGACATCGTTACCTTGTAGTACACCAGATCCTCCCCTCACCTTCCCCTCACCCTCCCCTACCACCACTAATGTTAACATTATAGAGAGGACATCGTTACCTTGTAGTACACCAGATCCTCCCCTCACCCTCCCCTACCACCACTAATGTTAACATTATAGAGAGGACATCCTTACCTTGTAGTAATGTTAATGCTAATGCATGGTAAGATGTTTAGGGAACTTAATGCAACTAAAAGCAGCACAAAGACAAAGGAGAGAGAGGGAGAGAGGGAAAGAGAGAGAGAGAGAGAGCGCGCGCGCGCGAGAGAGAGAGAGAGAGACGAACGGACGAACAGACAGACAGAGAGAGAGAGAGAGGAGAGAGAGAGAAATAAATGTACAAGTAATATGCTTTCTATGAATCGAACCTTTTGCTAGTTTTTATAAATCTGTGCACACCTCGAAAAACATCAACATTGCATTGTTTTGTCAATTTAGGGATAACTGATAATAGATAAGTTGGCTTTATGGTGTCTATAATTAGAATATTCGAAATAAAGAGAGTCGTAAGGAGCATAGGATAGGTGACTGGTAATGATGCGAGCTGCCTCACGTTGACATTTTTTCGAAACTTTCACTTTCAGTAGCTGTACATCCGTCCCACAATTCAGTGCAGTGATAAAAAATCGACAAGATAAAAAGACGTTTATAAAATCAACAGTCTATATTTTCAACATGTACTTCAGACTCCTAACAACATTTATTTTCTTCATGACGGATGTATGAGTAGATGCTATGTGATCTCCTCATTAACCTTCTGTGTTGAGAACTACTCTCAAATGTTTAGGACTGTCTCTAAAATTCAGAAGTTCTTCATGGAAATACAATTCAAAAGTATTAGTCCTTCAGATATCATATGATGTGAAATGTAATCATGATTTATGAAAAATAAAAAATGATATTGCAAGTGTGTAATGTACGTTCAAACTCCCTCAAGGAGCGAAGTCACTGCAGTCCTGATAAGATTAAAAAAAACAAAACCTGAAACTAAAATCTGTGCCAAATACTACAGTCCTGTAAACATGTGTAAGTTTGATCAAATTCCTAAAGAAATTCTATTTCTATCAACACTGATGTAAATGAAGACACCGTAAGCGTATGTTTCCGGTTAGAGTGGGTTTCCGGTTAGCGTAGGTCTCCGGTTAGAGTGGGTTTCGGGTTAGAGTGGGCTTCCGGTTAGATTGGGTTTCCGGTTAGCGTAGGTCTTCGTTTAGAGTGGGTTTCGGGTAAGAATGGGCTTCCGGTTAGCGTAGGTCTCCAGTTAGCGTAGGTCTCCGGTTAGAGGGGGGTTCCTGTTTGATTGGGTTTCCGGTTAAGGTGAGTATCTGGTTAGTGCGGGTTTCTGATGACTGTTTTATCAATAGACGAGTACGTTGGATGGGAACGGCAGCCAGCAATAAATTCGTGCGAACATATCGTTCATTATATATCGTTCCCTCACAATAATTTTTCAACCCTACTCTATAACATATCACAGGCAATGACCATTCCCTTGAAATATTATTGCGTTCCCGCGATTGTGTTCAACTTAATGTGTTCCTCGCGCTCACAGACAAGTTCTTGGTACACTCTCAGAGTTATTTTTGAAAAAAGTAGTAATAATATTTCTGATCTCTGACATTTCTCTATCAAAATTATAATATATAAAGGATATTTAAAGATATAACGGACATAATTGACGGTATCGTCCTGAGAGAACAAGGAGGATAAACCAGGCTATCTCAGTGATCCATGAATGGATTGATCCGGAGACGTTTCAGTACAACGCAAGATGACAAACACCCTAACACAGCCTCCCACGCATTTAAGGCCATGGAATGGATTTTCAATTTGCAGCGTAGTAAATGTTTATTTCTAAAATACATTTCAAGAACTGAGTTCGATTACAGTGGATTGCTGATGACAATAATTTGCGCTCGAACAGATTGATCTGTTGACAATAAGCTTTGTATTTTACCGCCCTTCTCGATATTTCCTGTGTTATTTGAATAGTATTTTAACGCTGATTTGAATTCAAACGGAACGGTTGAGATGGTTATCTGTGTGGAATTGATAAGTGAACACTGGAGATTAGAGTGACTCTTAAATGCTCCTTTATCACAAATATTTAACGAATAATATATGTCTGTTTTCGTAAATATCCTACATAGTAAACAGGAACACGTCACTACATGTACCGTAAATATCCTACACAGTAAACAAGGACACGTCACTACATGTACCGTAAATATCCTACACAGTAAACAGGAACACTTCACTACTTGTACCGTAGATATCCTACACAGTAAACAGGAACACGTCACTACATGTACCGTAGATATCCTACACAGTAAACAAGGACACGTCACTACATGTACCGTAAATATTCTACATAGTAAACAGGGACACGTCACTACATGTACCGTAAATATCCTACACAGTAAACAGGGACACGTCACTACATGTACCGTAAATATCTTATACAGTAAACAGGAACACGTCACTATATGTACCGTAAATATCCTACACAGTAAACAGGGACACGTCATTACATGTACCGTAAATATCCTACACAGTAAACAGGAACACGTCACTACATGTACCGTAAATATCCTACACAGTAAACAGGGACACGTCACTACATGTACCGTAGATATCCTACACAGTAAACAGGGACATGTCACTACATGTACCGTAGATATCCTACACAGTAAACAGGGACACGTCACTACATGTACCGTAGATATCCTACACAGTAAACAGGAACACGTCACTATATGTACCGTAGATATCCTACACAGTAAACAGGAACACGTCACTACATGTACCGTAGATATCCTACACAGTAAACAGGAACACGTCACTACATGTACCGTAGATATCCTACACAGTAAACAGGAACACGTCACTACATGTACCGTAGATATCCTACACAGTAAACAAGGACACGTCACTACATGTACCGTAAATATTCTACATAGTAAACAGGGACACGTCACTACATGTACCGTAGATATCCTACACAGTAAACAGGAACACGTCACTATATGTGCCGTAAATATCCTACACAGTAAACAGGGACATGTCACTACATGTACCGTAGATATCCTATACAGTAAACAGGAACACGTCACTACATGTACCGTAGATATCCTACACAGTAAACAGGAACACTTCACTACTTGTACCGTAGATATCCTACACAGTAAACAGGAACACGTCACTACATGTACCGTAGATATCCTACACAGTAAACAAGGACACGTCACTACATGTACCGTAAATATCCTACACAGTAAACAGGGACACGTCACTACATGTACCGTAAATATCCTACACAGTAAACAGGGACACGTCACTACATGTACCGTAAATATCCTATACAGTAAACAGGAACACGTCACTATATGTACCGTAAATATCCTACACAGCAAACAGGGACACGTCACTACATGTACCGTAGATATCCTACACAGTAAACAGGAACACGTCACTATATGTACCGTAAATATCCTACACAGCAAACAGGGACACGTCACTACATGTACCGTAGATATCCTACACAGTAAACAGGGACATGTCACTACATGTACCGTAGATATCCTACACAGTAAACAGGGACACGTCACTACATGTACCGTAGATATCCTACACAGTAAACAGGAACACGTCACTATATGTACCGTAGATATCCTACACAGTAAACAAGAAC